ATAGTTACCTAGGTTACGTTCCAAAACTTCCTCTCCGAGGAAAATTTTACTCGAAATATTGTATTGGGTCATCTAAAAAGTATCCGCGGTTTTTTGTCACTAGATGGTGTTGATGGTCAACACATCTAGTGACAAAAAACCGCGGATACTTTTTAGATGACCCAATGTATAGCAACATATAATATATACTATAGCATATAGAGAGAAAATCCTCAGAGAGAAAATTTTGGAACATAGCCTTAGTTAGTTTCTGTACCCACGTTACAATCGCATTTTTATTCTACTTCTCATAACTAGTCGGAACACGGTTTTAAGAGGTTAAATTGATTCATGAAAACACATTTTATAATCATAACATATTTTATAATCGCCTAATAAGCATTAATAAGTACAGAAAAATGGCTAGGAAGAGTTTAGTGGATGAATTAAATGTTTTAATTATGTCTAAACCGGATTTTGGTTCAGATGAAGAAGAGGATACTAAGGCAAAAATAGTAGAACCTTACAATGAAAACGATGACTCGAACGACAAATTACAAATTTCTAAAATTCGCAAACAAAATGTTGATACTTTAGATAAAGTGGATAAGAGGTAAGTTTATATATTTCATATTTATATATATAATAGGTAAAGAAATTAGTATAGCTAAATGAAATTTTGAAAATATAATTCACATGGTTAATGTAGATACACTGGTAAAAAGATCTCAAGAAAAGACATATATAGCGACGAAGGTGATAGTACGAATGAAGATGCAAAAAGTAAATGCTCTGAAGAAGAAGAAATTAATGATATAATGGAGCAAAACGAGGATGAGTTGTATAGAGAAGCCAATTTGATAGAAGGATCTACAAATACCTTTGTTAACATGTCTGATTTGAAAGATCAAAATTATTATGATATAGGTATCAATACAAATGATCCATTTTACAAACAGATAAACTCTAATATTAAAACAATGTTTGAAACAAATGTTGACACAGAAATAGAGAAAGGAAACTGTGTTAGAAATCAACTGAAATTATGGGAAAATTTCTTGGAAATACGGATAAAATTACAGAAATGTCTTGTAATTAGTAACCAAATGCCACAGCATGATGTTCATAAAGAACTTGGATCAGACATGAATTTTGTAAAGAAAGTTAATGAAACTAAAATGAAATTGGCATTAATCATGGAGAATATGTTACGTCTGAAAGATCTTTTATTAAAACAATATCCTGAAACAAAAAATTTTTGTACTGATGTTAAAAAGATAAAAATCGATAAGAATAAGAATATAAATACAAATGATTCATTGGATAAAGAAATATCTTCTGATACTGAAGACGAATTAGAAAATGGAAAGCAATTATCCATTGATAAAAATACAAAAACGATTGAAGAATTAGTGCCTCAAAAACGTTTGAAATATAATGACTATGAAAAAATTTTACAAAAAGATCATGATTCATATAGAAAGTATAGAGACTCTGTTATTAAAAAATGGAATGATAAAACACGATTTGCTATAGGCTCTTTGAATAAAGGTTCTAGTCAGACTACATTGAAACAAATTGAATTTGCTATGAGCGATATAAGCAAGTTACGAAACAGAACTCAACTGAAGCGTTCTGAGTATAATGTTGTTGGTAAATGTTTACTAAATGGAGATAATGATGGTAGAAGAATTCAAGAATATGATCCAGAAATTTATGACGATGACGATTTTTATCATCAACTATTGAGGGATTTGATAGAGTATAGATCATCGGATATGACAGATCCTGTACAGCTCAGCAAACAATGGATCCAATTACAGAACATGCGTAAGAAAATGAAAAGAAAAATTGATACACGTGCGACGAAGGGTAGGAGAGTACGATATAATGTCCATAATAAATTAATTAATTTCATGGCACCCATTACAGTGTATGATACATGGACAGACAATGCAAAAAATGAATTATATAATTCATTGTTTGGGAAAATAAAATCGACGGAGGAACAGATAAAATAGGTTGTGCAAATTATAGTATACAATTTTATGTCTATAAGATAAAAAAATTTATACTCCATGTATGTATTGCTAAATAAATTTTACTATCGATTCTTACATAATTGAAATAATTTACCTTTAAAAAATAATTTGAAAAATAATTGCAATGAAATAGAAGTTTATTAGGGTATTAAAGAGCCAACTTGTTGCGTAAATTATTTTATATATCTAAATAATAATTACATGAGTATAGTATGATAATCAAACCTATTCTTTTAAATTCGAAATCTTGACATGTTTCGGCTGTTTGATTGAATCATCTTCAGAAATTTCAAAAAAATTGTTTAATTTACAGATGTTATTTCTTCTTAATATAGAACATTTATTCGTAAGCTGTTCCCAGAATAATTATAGCTGACGATTGGAAGACCATATGAAGAATCTGGTTAAACTGATAATGAAAATTTAAGTTAGTTTTCTCTTTCAAATAATTAGCAGAATCAATTCTTATTCTGATAAAAACTTACCGATCGACAATTATCAGTCGGTCGAACATAACGGACGTATATAATGAAGAGACTTAAAATCAGTCAGTGTAATAACTATATAAAATATAATATAATAAATAAAATAAATTAATGAAAATCAAAATGAATGTCAAAATGAAAATTTTAAAATTGTATAAATAAAAAAAATAAATAAATAATATATCTGTAGTTAGAGGATAAAATCAATTATAATAAATTAAATAAATATGAATTATAATAAATTATAATAAATAATATGAACACGACAAAGGACAAACGCTGACTGAATAAATGATGGTACTGTAAAGTCAAATACTATTGATACCTGTATCACCGACAAGATACTATTAAAGACCCTCGGCCCTGGATAAATTTTCGTGACTATCAATGGGGCTTGGGGGATCCGAGGATAATTGAAGAACAATGACGTTACCAACAATTAATAAAAATTTATGATTATTAACATAAATATTTCGATGATACATTAATAAATTCGTGATGTTTTATTATATAAATGCTATATAAATAAGTATGCATGCTTTTAATCAAGATTGGGTAGTAACTAGTTAAAATGCATTAAAAGTTAAAAAGTTAATAACTTAACTTAACTTAGTTAATTTTAAATATATTAATTTTGAACTTAATTTAGTTATTTTTAAACCTTAATTTATTACCTTTCTTTAAATTAAAAATTTTTCTATCTGTTAATGCTAATATTTTTTTCCTATAAAATCTTAAACATTAGAGAATAAATTTAGAAAAAGCTCAATGATTTTATGATGAGAGATCTATAATAAGAATTATACTATACGGTAGCCAGTTTTTATTGACTCGCTAGGTTTTGTCAATTCCTGCTTTATTTTAGGTATCATAAACGTTATATTTCAATAACATAAATATAAAATAAGCCTTAGATGAAGAATTGTTATAGAACAGTATTGCACATTCACCCATTTTCTAAAGTTTTACGTATATTTTTTGTAACAAATATCTATTCTGTTGCAAATTCCTATGAGAAATTTTCCTATGGGTTTGTCTAATCATGGGTACCCGTGATAAATTCGGTCTAATATGATCCCCATGGGAGGAGGCTCCTATTCTTGCTGTAAACTCCCATGGGTTTTTTCATGAGTTTCTAGAAAGGACTATAAGATTCTGGCTGTGTTTCACAATTTACTGCCAGTATTGAAAATCTATAGTTTTCGTTATGTACACTACAGATTTTCAATACTGAGAGTAAATTTTGGAACACAGCCTCTGTAGGAGTTTGTATAGTGTAAACAATTAATGACAACAGAGAAAAATATCAGAGTGTTCCTCGTCTCGAACCCAGGCCTGGTCTCTCCTTCGAGTTGATAGACTTCCGTCCTGCCATTGAGCCACACAGCCCTGACGCTCTGTGCTATTTCTTCTAAATTTCTTACAATAGGTACCTGTAGGATTTATACAGCATATATATATATAGGATAACGTATAAAATTTTTCTACAAGATTTTACATAGGAGTCTATGGAATCCAGTCCATGAAAAAAGGCTCCTATAAGATCACATGGGAAAAAGAGTGATATGCACGTTGACACAATCCTAAATAATATACAGGTCTCGTATTTGGAACTATTTTCGTGTGCAGTAAAGTTAAATTGAGTCGAAAAGTCCTGTATCATTTTGTAATTTTCACAATAGTTAGTTTCTAAAAATTGCCGAATAAGCGGGTAAAATTGACATAAGACAACTTTAAGATATTATATTTTTCAGAGTTCTTTATGACATATTTTAAAGATATTTTTCAAAGAACTCTTAAAGATACTTTAAAGTTGTCTAATGCGTCGCGATTTTAGACATTCTGCTCATTGGATAATAATTGCAAAAATTGTAAAATAATAGAGGACTTTCTGGCTCAATTTAATCCGCTCTATTTGCACACAAAAATAATTCCAAATATTGGGTCATCTAAAAAGTATCCGCGGTTTTTTGTCACTAGATGTGTGTTGATGGTCATATATCTAGTGATAAAGTACCGCGGATACTTTTTAGATGACCCATACTATGGTAGTCTATAGGCATTTTCAGTCTCCATGGGGCACTTCTTCTTTGCTTACGTGTCTACATGTTACTATAAGTCAAACTGGTATCCTATAGTTCTTTTAGTTCTCATGGGGCATCTGTCCACATTCCTGTGGGTACCTCCATTACCCTATTTGCATTCCTATGAATTTCCTACGTATACCTATGCATGCAAATCCTATAGGTAACTACACAAGCTCCTACAATATCTTATATTCCTCTATAGGTACCATCTAGTGACAAAAAACCGCGGATACTTTTTAGATGACCCAATGTATAGCAACATATAATATATACTATAGCATATAGAGAGAAAATCCTCAGAGAGAAAATTTTGGAACATAGCCTTAGTTAGTTTCTGTACCCACGTTACAATCGCATTTTTATTCTACTTCTCATAACTAGTCGGAACACGGTTTTAAGAGGTTAAATTGATTCATGAAAACACATTTTATAATCATAACATATTTTATAATCGCCTAATAAGCATTAATAAGTACAGAAAAATGGCTAGGAAGAGTTTAGTGGATGAATTAAATGTTTTAATTATGTCTAAACCGGATTTTGGTTCAGATGAAGAAGAGGATACTAAGGCAAAAATAGTAGAACCTTACAATGAAAACGATGACTCGAACGACAAATTACAAATTTCTAAAATTCGCAAACAAAATGTTGATACTTTAGATAAAGTGGATAAGAGGTAAGTTTATATATTTCATATTTATATATATAATAGGTAAAGAAATTAGTATAGCTAAATGAAATTTTGAAAATATAATTCACATGGTTAATGTAGATACACTGGTAAAAAGATCTCAAGAAAAGACATATATAGCGACGAAGGTGATAGTACGAATGAAGATGCAAAAAGTAAATGCTCTGAAGAAGAAGAAATTAATGATATAATGGAGCAAAACGAGGATGAGTTGTATAGAGAAGCCAATTTGATAGAAGGATCTACAAATACCTTTGTTAACATGTCTGATTTGAAAGATCAAAATTATTATGATATAGGTATCAATACAAATGATCCATTTTACAAACAGATAAACTCTAATATTAAAACAATGTTTGAAACAAATGTTGACACAGAAATAGAGAAAGGAAACTGTGTTAGAAATCAACTGAAATTATGGGAAAATTTCTTGGAAATACGGATAAAATTACAGAAATGTCTTGTAATTAGTAACCAAATGCCACAGCATGATGTTCATAAAGAACTTGGATCAGACATGAATTTTGTAAAGAAAGTTAATGAAACTAAAATGAAATTGGCATTAATCATGGAGAATATGTTACGTCTGAAAGATCTTTTATTAAAACAATATCCTGAAACAAAAAATTTTTGTACTGATGTTAAAAAGATAAAAATCGATAAGAATAAGAATATAAATACAAATGATTCATTGGATAAAGAAATATCTTCTGATACTGAAGACGAATTAGAAAATGGAAAGCAATTATCCATTGATAAAAATACAAAAACGATTGAAGAATTAGTGCCTCAAAAACGTTTGAAATATAATGACTATGAAAAAATTTTACAAAAAGATCATGATTCATATAGAAAGTATAGAGACTCTGTTATTAAAAAATGGAATGATAAAACACGATTTGCTATAGGCTCTTTGAATAAAGGTTCTAGTCAGACTACATTGAAACAAATTGAATTTGCTATGAGCGATATAAGCAAGTTACGAAACAGAACTCAACTGAAGCGTTCTGAGTATAATGTTGTTGGTAAATGTTTACTAAATGGAGATAATGATGGTAGAAGAATTCAAGAATATGATCCAGAAATTTATGACGATGACGATTTTTATCATCAACTATTGAGGGATTTGATAGAGTATAGATCATCGGATATGACAGATCCTGTACAGCTCAGCAAACAATGGATCCAATTACAGAACATGCGTAAGAAAATGAAAAGAAAAATTGATACACGTGCGACGAAGGGTAGGAGAGTACGATATAATGTCCATAATAAATTAATTAATTTCATGGCACCCATTACAGTGTATGATACATGGACAGACAATGCAAAAAATGAATTATATAATTCATTGTTTGGGAAAATAAAATCGACGGAGGAACAGATAAAATAGGTTGTGCAAATTATAGTATACAATTTTATGTCTATAAGATAAAAAAATTTATACTCCATGTATGTATTGCTAAATAAATTTTACTATCGATTCTTACATAATTGAAATAATTTACCTTTAAAAAATAATTTGAAAAATAATTGCAATGAAATAGAAGTTTATTAGGGTATTAAAGAGCCAACTTGTTGCGTAAATTATTTTATATATCTAAATAATAATTACATGAGTATAGTATGATAATCAAACCTATTCTTTTAAATTCGAAATCTTGACATGTTTCGGCTGTTTGATTGAATCATCTTCAGAAATTTCAAAAAAATTGTTTAATTTACAGATGTTATTTCTTCTTAATATAGAACATTTATTCGTAAGCTGTTCCCAGAATAATTATAGCTGACGATTGGAAGACCATATGAAGAATCTGGTTAAACTGATAATGAAAATTTAAGTTAGTTTTCTCTTTCAAATAATTAGCAGAATCAATTCTTATTCTGATAAAAACTTACCGATCGACAATTATCAGTCGGTCGAACATAACGGACGTATATAATGAAGAGACTTAAAATCAGTCAGTGTAATAACTATATAAAATATAATATAATAAATAAAATAAATTAATGAAAATCAAAATGAATGTCAAAATGAAAATTTTAAAATTGTATAAATAAAAAAAATAAATAAATAATATATCTGTAGTTAGAGGATAAAATCAATTATAATAAATTAAATAAATATGAATTATAATAAATTATAATAAATAATATGAACACGACAAAGGACAAACGCTGACTGAATAAATGATGGTACTGTAAAGTCAAATACTATTGATACCTGTATCACCGACAAGATACTATTAAAGACCCTCGGCCCTGGATAAATTTTCGTGACTATCAATGGGGCTTGGGGGATCCGAGGATAATTGAAGAACAATGACGTTACCAACAATTAATAAAAATTTATGATTATTAACATAAATATTTCGATGATACATTAATAAATTCGTGATGTTTTATTATATAAATGCTATATAAATAAGTATGCATGCTTTTAATCAAGATTGGGTAGTAACTAGTTAAAATGCATTAAAAGTTAAAAAGTTAATAACTTAACTTAACTTAGTTAATTTTAAATATATTAATTTTGAACTTAATTTAGTTATTTTTAAACCTTAATTTATTACCTTTCTTTAAATTAAAAATTTTTCTATCTGTTAATGCTAATATTTTTTTCCTATAAAATCTTAAACATTAGAGAATAAATTTAGAAAAAGCTCAATGATTTTATGATGAGAGATCTATAATAAGAATTATACTATACGGTAGCCAGTTTTTATTGACTCGCTAGGTTTTGTCAATTCCTGCTTTATTTTAGGTATCATAAACGTTATATTTCAATAACATAAATATAAAATAAGCCTTAGATGAAGAATTGTTATAGAACAGTATTGCACATTCACCCATTTTCTAAAGTTTTACGTATATTTTTTGTAACAAATATCTATTCTGTTGCAAATTCCTATGAGAAATTTTCCTATGGGTTTGTCTAATCATGGGTACCCGTGATAAATTCGGTCTAATATGATCCCCATGGGAGGAGGCTCCTATTCTTGCTGTAAACTCCCATGGGTTTTTTCATGAGTTTCTAGAAAGGACTATAAGATTCTGGCTGTGTTTCACAATTTACTGCCAGTATTGAAAATCTATAGTTTTCGTTATGTACACTACAGATTTTCAATACTGAGAGTAAATTTTGGAACACAGCCTCTGTAGGAGTTTGTATAGTGTAAACAATTAATGACAACAGAGAAAAATATCAGAGTGTTCCTCGTCTCGAACCCAGGCCTGGTCTCTCCTTCGAGTTGATAGACTTCCGTCCTGCCATTGAGCCACACAGCCCTGACGCTCTGTGCTATTTCTTCTAAATTTCTTACAATAGGTACCTGTAGGATTTATACAGCATATATATATATAGGATAACGTATAAAATTTTTCTACAAGATTTTACATAGGAGTCTATGGAATCCAGTCCATGAAAAAAGGCTCCTATAAGATCACATGGGAAAAAGAGTGATATGCACGTTGACACAATCCTAAATAATATACAGGTCTCGTATTTGGAACTATTTTCGTGTGCAGTAAAGTTAAATTGAGTCGAAAAGTCCTGTATCATTTTGTAATTTTCACAATAGTTAGTTTCTAAAAATTGCCGAATAAGCGGGTAAAATTGACATAAGACAACTTTAAGATATTATATTTTTCAGAGTTCTTTATGACATATTTTAAAGATATTTTTCAAAGAACTCTTAAAGATACTTTAAAGTTGTCTAATGCGTCGCGATTTTAGACATTCTGCTCATTGGATAATAATTGCAAAAATTGTAAAATAATAGAGGACTTTCTGGCTCAATTTAATCCGCTCTATTTGCACACAAAAATAATTCCAAATATTGGGTCATCTAAAAAGTATCCGCGGTTTTTTGTCACTAGATGTGTGTTGATGGTCATATATCTAGTGATAAAGTACCGCGGATACTTTTTAGATGACCCATACTATGGTAGTCTATAGGCATTTTCAGTCTCCATGGGGCACTTCTTCTTTGCTTACGTGTCTACATGTTACTATAAGTCAAACTGGTATCCTATAGTTCTTTTAGTTCTCATGGGGCATCTGTCCACATTCCTGTGGGTACCTCCATTACCCTATTTGCATTCCTATGAATTTCCTACGTATACCTATGCATGCAAATCCTATAGGTAACTACACAAGCTCCTACAATATCTTATATTCCTCTATAGGTACCCATAAAAAAACTCATGGGAATTTCTAACAGAGTAGTCGATGTAGTCGTTAATATGCATGAGCAGTTGTTTAAGAAGTTTTAAAGAAAGTTGTATAAAGATTAAAGAAAGAGAAATAACACAAATATATACCCTTTTCTCTCGCAAGATTTTGACAAAAACACCTTATGGTGTGCCCAGCAAACAAGATTGAAATGAATTGAAATGGATTCAGATTTTCAGAAATATTGATTCACGAATGTTAAAATGAATGCTTTTCAATTTTGAATGTATTTTTATTCATTTATAGGAATTGCATTGAGCACATCTCTATGCCTTTCAATCTAAAAATAATATTAGCTTTTTCTGTGTACATAAATACAATTATGAATACTGTTCAATCAAAAATTTTGAATAGAAAATGCAATTTTTCAATCCAATTGCATTCAATTGAATCCAATTGAAACCAATTAAATCCAAAAAAAAGTATTCGCTATTTAAAATACGCATTCGGATAGAAAAAAATTTCAATTCATTTTAATCTATTCTCGTTTGCTGAGGTGTTAATATATAATATACATAAAAGCAATTAATTTATTAATTAAAAATAAGGAATTTATATGAGAGAGAGAGAGAGAGAGAGAGAGAGAGAGAGAGAGTAACATTTATTGTACATATTTACGTAGTTCTTTTTATGTTTCTTTTAAATATTAAATGAAGGAGAATTCTCATGATATATTTTTACGGTACAACTTTTTTTTAACTCAAATGAATTAAAACGAAAAATTTCTTATTCATATTTCTGAATAAAAAGCATTCATAATGCGTTTTTCAATGAAACAATGGATTTTCTACTCACAATTTTGAATTAAATAGTATTCATGGTCTATTTTAAAAAAAAAACTTTTTTATATTCAACTAGATTAAAAAACTGCATTTCCTATTCAGAATTTTAAATTTAGCAGTATTCATCATGCAGAAATGCTGATATTATTTTTAGATTCAACTGGATTGAAAAACTGCATTTCCTATTCAGAATTTTAAATTAAGCAGTATTCACGATACACACACAAAATACTATAATATTAGGTCATCTAAAAAGTATCGCGGTACTTTGTCACTAGATACAATATATGACCATTAACATACATCTAGTGACAAAAAACCGCGGATACTTTTTAGATGACCCAATATTATTTTTAGATTGAGAAGAATAGAAATATACTCCATTCTTATGAATGAATAAAAATGCATTCAGGATTGAAAAGGATTCATTTTAACATTCATGAATTCGTATTTCTAAAAATCTGAATCCATTTTAATCCATTCTCGTCTGCTGAGAATAGACACAGAGGATTTTCATAAAGCATATATTGGGTCATCTAAAAAGTATCCGCGGTTTTTTGTTACTAGATGTGTGTTGATGGTCATATATCTAGTGACAAAGTACCGCGGATACTTTTTAGATGACCCAATACAAACACCAATGAGATACTATTAAAGATTTTCGACGCTTATGGAAATTCGCATGCCTGTTAAAATTTAAGTGATTAATACCCATTTCCATTAAAGTAGATTAATTTAATTTCAGTTCAACTTACTCTTTGTCTTTTTCTAGTTCTAAGGGCCAGTCAGCTAAGCTTATTCGTCGATTAACTTTATCACCAGAATAGCCAACAGCAAAACTTAAAAATCTATGTTTCTCTTATTCTTGTTAGTAATAGTAAAGAAAAGTGTTGTGTGGAGATAATAAATAAAACATTGAAATATAAATATATTTGATTATTTTTTTACAAATACATATTTTCGAAATTAGATTAGAGATGATGAGTTTTCAGTTTAGCAGTCGACAATACTCAAAGTTAATCGATGGATAAAGGAACTTTTACGAATAAAGGCATTGGTGAAACTGGCCCTAAAGATTAGAAAAAGACGAAAAGTAAGTTGAATCGAGATTAAAGTTAATCTACGTCGGTGGAAATGGGCATAAGAATAATAAACTAGTAATACAGTACTAATTTCATAATTTATTAGTTTTGTAGACATGTACATATGCTTAAAACTTAAATAATATTCGATTTTTATTTAAAATTGTGATTTTAATGATATCATTCAAGTTTGATTATCAATAGAGATGAAAAATGCAAAAGAAAAATTATATATATAAGATATTACATCATTAAAAGCAGGATTGGGTAAGTTAATGTTTTTGTAAAACTAAATTAAGTTAAAGTTAATGGCTTATCAAATTAAATTAAAAGTTGAAGGAATAAAATGACGTGGAAGGATGTAGA